TGCTGCTGCTGCTGCAACTGCAACAGGCAACAATACTAAGGAGGAAGACAACGCAACAAAGGCAGCTAACAAACCGTTAGGGGCATTTAAAAACGAGAAAAAATCAAACAAATCAACAAAAAAATAAACAAAAATGTCATCTGTGAATGTGAACCAAAAAGAGAGTCCCAGCCGCGACTCGACGGCCTCAACATCGGGACACATATCAATGATGGCCGAGAATACGCTTGAGTCCCTGTCCAGAGATTACAGCCTGGTCAGTCTCAATTCGGCTGGCAGCCAGGACGAGTTCTTTCGCTGTCGCGATCATGCGGACAGCGTTCTGAAGCGCATGCAGCTGTATGTGGACAGCCAGCAGCTGTGCGATGTGGTGCTCATCGCTGGCGTTGATGGCAAGCGGTAAGTGGACGCCAAATGACAACAAATGGCCAGGCCAAACAAAGAATGGAAAGTTGTTGCAATGCGCAAAAGCAATTTTCCGCACCCACCATCCCCAGCAGCCAGCTCCATCAACGAATTCGCCTCATTAGCAATTCACCATCCGGCACATGCCCGCCGCTCTCCCTCTCTTAGCCCAGCTAACGTCTGACCTTCACTTTAGCGCTGGCAGTTCACTCGGTTCTTTGTCTCTGTGTCCCATTCGCACACAAGTTTCCCTAGTCTCCAAGCAGTCGAAGCAGCAACGCAATTCCAACAGTAAACACAACGCGCCGCACTAATTGCGTTTGGATGCATGCTCTCTCACGCTCACTGCGGCGCTCTCTGCCAGCGATTGATCGCCGGAGAGCGGTGTGCAAGACAGAGATAGATATTGAAATAGAGCATTGAGCCGACTGATTGACGTGCATTCTGCACCAGTGCTGCCAATTGCCGATGCAATAAAACAGCTGAATCCAATGTTAAAAATAGCTGAATTAGCTTTCTGGCCGCAGATTGGCAATAAACAGGATTTCTAGTACTTTGCAGTGAGATGCGGAAAAAAAAGCTAAATAAGCTAAAAACTTCAACTGCTTCCGGCTGACGATGTCTGAATATAGCCGCATTGGCAGCACTGACCTGCACAGGGGTAAAAGTTAATTTGTTTTTGCACACAACAACAGTCAAGGGTTAGATAAATTAATTATTTATTTCTATTGTAGATGCCCCTTTCAGTTGAGATTTATTTTCATATAAAACTTTATTCAGGGTTGCACAGATGGAAAGATTTGCCAACTGGTATTGCTTGTATTTCAAGCAGTTGTCTCCTAATAAACAAATTTTAAATATACTATAATACTATATACTATTTAGTATTGCATTATGAATAACAAAAAAAAAAGTTAGTCAGCTGCTTCATATTTTGAATTGTTCTCAACAACCCATTCGCTTGTAGAATAATTTATTTATTATTTTAAATATGTGAAAAAATAAATATGTAGATGTGTACATGTTTTTCCATTGCAACAATTAACCCATTCGAGACATAGCCACAGCATTTGAAAGTTCCTTTACTGATGATTATCAAGGATAAAGGTCAAGATCTAGCGCATTGCAAGTTTAAGATCACAGTTTGAAAGTCACTGCGTTCGATCGACACACAGTTTTAGGGTCAGGATAGGCTGGCGATTCCCGACTGCAACGTTTTTCACAATGAATACCATTTGCCTTGTTTTTTACAGCGTGCCCGCTCACCGCTTGGTGCTATCCGCTTCGAGTGCATATTTTTCAGCAATGTTTACGGGATCGCTGCGCGAGACCAAGGAGCACGAGGTTACCCTGGGCGAGGTGAATGGCGATGCGCTGCAGCTGCTGGTGCAGTATTGCTATACAGGATTCATTGAGTTGCGCGAGGACACTGTGGAAACTCTGCTGGCCACCGCCTGTCTGCTGCAGCTGAACTCTGTGGTCACGGCCTGCTGCAATTTCCTGGCACGCCAGCTGCATCCATCCAATTGTCTGGGCTTTGCATTCTTTGCCGAGCAACAGAGCTGCACGGCGCTGCTGCGGCTGGCGCAGGCTTACACCTGCCAGTACTTTATGCAGGTGTGCCAGAATCAGGAGTTCTTTCAGCTGAATGCCGATCAGCTGGGCAAGCTGCTGTGCAGCGATGATCTCAATGTGCCATCCGAGCAGGATGTTTTCCACAGTCTGATGTCTTGGGTGCGCCACGATGCGCCCAATCGGGAGCAACACATTGCCGAGCTGCTGGCGCTGGTACGTCTGCCCCTGCTACAGCCGGCATTCATAATGGACAACGTGGAGAGCGTGTGCAGCGCCAATGAGTGCCAACAGCTTGTTATGGAGGCCTTCAAATGGCATCTCATGCCTGAACGGCGTTCGCGCATTGCCACCGAACGCACAACGCCGCGAAAATCGACCGTCGGTCGACTGCTCGCTGTCGGCGGCATGGATGCCCACAAGGGCGCCATCACCATTGAGAGCTACTGTCCGCGCCTGGACAAGTGGTCGCCTTGGAAGCATATGACTGGCCGACGATTGCAGTTTGGCGCTGCTGTCATGGAGGATAAACTGATTTTGGTGGGCGGACGCGATGGACTCAAGACCCTAAATACCGTGGAGAGCCTGGACTTGAATACGATGGCCTGGGTGCTACTAAATCCCATGGCAACACCACGTCATGGTCTTGGCGTCGCCGTGCTGGAGGGCCCGCTGTATGCGGTCGGCGGACACGATGGCTGGAGCTACCTGAATACGGTTGAACGGTAAAGGGACATCCATCCATCTGATAACCAACCCGAACGAACGATATAACTGTAATCAATGTATTTCTTGTAGCTGGGATCCTCTTGCGCGCACCTGGAGCTATGTGGCGCCCATGTCCTCGATGCGTTCGACGGCTGGTGTTGCGGTGCTGGGCGGCCGTCTCTATGCGGTGGGCGGACGCGATGGCTCCGTCTGTCATCGCTCCATCGAATGCTACGATCCGCACACCAATAAATGGAGCCTCCTGGCACCAATGAATCGACGCCGCGGTGGCGTTGGCGTAAGCATTAACAACCAGTTTTAATCAGCTGCATCAGATCTCTAAATGAATTGAACGCCGCAGGTGACTGTTGCAAATGGTTTTCTCTATGCCTTGGGCGGTCACGACTGTCCGGCCAGCAATCCCATGGTGTGCCGCACCGAGACCGTTGAGCGTTATGATCCTGTCACCGATACCTGGACACTGGTAAGCCCATTGCTAACTGAATTTGAAATCGTTTAGCCACAGAACTTTCCGGCAACTGATTAGCTCTGTCTGTTTCCCATCTTAAAACAGATTTGCTCGCTGGCTTTGGGCCGCGATGCGATTGGCTGTGCTCTGCTTGGGGATCGTTTAATTGTCGTCGGCGGCTACGATGGCAATACTGCGCTCAAAAGTGTCGAGGAATATGATCCGGTGCGCAATGGCTGGAATGATTTGTCGCCCATGTCGTTTCCGCGTGCCGGCGCCTGTGTCGTTGCCATACCGAATGTTATACCGCCAGCAGCTCCACAGCCGCCGGCCAGTGCTACAGTTTAGTTACGCTTCAATTATTGTTGTTGTTGTTGCTGTTGTTGTAGTTGTGTGTATGAGCTGTTGTTTGCTGCTACTGCGCAATGACCACTGCTATTCCTATTACCTTTTACCTATAACTGTTATTTTTACACCTACATTCATGCCTATGTACTAAGCAACGCGCGTTTGCGTTCTGGTCCGCTCCGCTCCGCCCGGGTCTGGCCTGATCTGGTCGGACCCGGTCCGGTCTGGCATCTGTTGGTACTTGGTACACACACTCGCTAAATTTTACCCGCTATTGCTCAAACGTAATCTCATGCCAAGTGATACAAGAAATTGAAAAACCAGTGAAATAATGCATGCTGCGAGGCTTTCGAACGCATTCCCAACTAAATCGTTCTATATTTATATACATACTTTATGCATTTTGATATTACTCTGTTCAATATAATTTCATTCGTTGTATGCATCACATTCCATATTTGCATACTCATACCATGTACGCCACCATCATCATCATCATCTATGCTGACGTACACTACATATTTAAGATGCATGTTCTCTTCTCTACCTGGTGTCAGTTTCATCTCACACACACCTCTCACTTCCAGTGATCGTTCTGTATGCTACATAAGACTGCGCCACCCAATTCCTAAATGGCCAAACTATTTTCTTTTTGCTCATATATACGCATGCATGTGAAGTGTAAGACAAATACTTTGGTTACTACATATAGTTTATAGATAGTGCAAATTTACAAAAAAAAAAACAAACATTAATCATATCACCATGCAGCAAGTTTGATAAAGAGAATGAATAGTTAACGGCTTTGGCTGTTTACTCCCATTTGCACTCCCATTATACATATTTACATTTACTTTTTATTATTACATATGTATATGTGTATGATTACAAGCATTTATTTTTAATTGTCTATTATTATTTTCTTTCTTTTCCTTTTTCGACGTTTATCTCTTACTGCATTTACGCGTATTTTTTGTAGAAAAAGAAGAAGTGGAAGCCAGTCAGATTGGATCCAATCTGCTATAGGCGTCGTAGATCCGTCGAATTTGTCGACTACTATCATATGTAATTACGAAAAAGAAAACTATAAATATTTAAGAAAAACAAAAGTAAGATCAAGCAAAAGCCAACACAAATGGTAACTTTTAAATAATACGTATTATTTTCTACAATCATATATTTATATTTTTACACAACCAAAACAAACATACACTACACATAAATGTATACACTGAATATGTATTTTTTGTAATAAAATATATTCTTTATTTATACGTTGCTAAATGCAACAGTAAAATGAATATTAAAGTGTCAAATTATTGATAAGCTGTTGATATTTCAAATAATGACCGTTGCTTTATAATATAGCAACTATGCAGTATTTTAGTATCAGCATTTGGTATTTTAAAATTTTTTCTCTGCAAGATATACGGTCATACCAATGCAGTAACCACTTCAGTATTTTATACTGTTTTTCTCAGTATATTTTAGTACATGCACATTATTGTCATTGAATTGCATGTACAATTCAATTAAATACAAATCCAATTAGCACACACTTAGACTGGCGAGATTGTTACAGTCGGCATCATGGATGCGGAGCAGCTGAAACGACTTGAACGCAAGGAAACCGCTCACATCGCTGACATACTCAGCCAGTTTAATAAGAAGGTAAAACACACTATCCACTATTTTCGTGCTGTGACTAATATTTGTTGATTAACTGATTGTGGCGACGCCCGCAGCATGCGGATCTGCTGGCCTTCGATAGCTTCCACACGGACAACCAATGGCATGACCTGTGGCTGGCTATATTCGGCATCCTCGATGACGCGACCCTGCAATCGGTGCACGCCCAATGTCTCAACACTGTCCGCATTTTGACACGCGATGAGTTCAGCCTGCAGACGCACTTCGTCGAGCAGGAGCTGGGTACGCTCTTATCGCTGGCACGCATCAATGCCAGCAGCAATGAGGATGGAGCACAGCCACAGCTAGACGATGCACAGGCGGAGGTCATCGCCGAGGCTCTGAAATGCCTGTGTAACTTGGTCTATCAAAGCGCCGACTGCCGGCGCCAGTGTCTGCGTCAGTATAGTCTCGATGTGCTTGTAAAGCGTTTGGGCACCGCCTCATCGACACGTTATCCATGCACTTTGGAATACTATGACATGAAGCTGTTGTTTTTGCTTACTGCATTGGAGCCAACAGCGCGTACACGCCTACAAATTGATCTCAATGGACTGACTTACATGACCAAATGGTTGGACGACAAGTTGGCGGATTCTGCCACGGCTGCCAGCGAGGAGCAGCTAAACATAATCTGTGAGCTGCTGAAGGTTATGTTCACGGTGACCAGTGCGCCGGACAAGAGCCCCAACGAATATGAAATTCAAAGTCTTCATTTGACGGGCGTTCTGCGGGAACTGCTATTGCGGTTTGGCAGGCTCTCCACAGAACGGGAACGCGCCGTTGTGACACACGCAATTAATTTGCTGACCAACATATCGGACAGCTGCCTCACCGAGCTGACGCTCAAGTGCAGCTCAGCGGACACGGGAGCGCAGAGTGCACAGAGTGCCGTTGCATCTGGTACCACAGAGCCGCAGCCGGCGTCAAAATGCTGTGCCTTGTGCTTTGAGAAGCGCAACGTGCGCAGCCTGGCGGTGCTGTTGGACTATCTGCGCGGTGGACTAGCCCAGCAGGAGGCAGAGGCCAGCTCCCATGAGCTACTGTCCCCTGTGCTGACGGTGCTGGTGAAGTGTGCACGCAGCGATCGCACCATGCGACACTATTTGCGAAAGGAGATCCTACCGCCACTGAAGGATGTCAGCAAGCGGCCAGAGATTGGCAATGAGCTGCGCAATCATCTCTGCCGTTTTCTCACGCTGCCTGCCATGATATTGCGTGACCTGGCCGCTGAGCTACTGTTCATACTATGCAAGGAGGATGTCGGTCGCATGATCAAGTACACGGGATATGGCAATGCGGCTGGCTTGTTTGCCAAGCGCGGTGTACTCGACTGCCGGCGTATTGAGGGCGCCGAGTATTCGTCGGACAGCGAGGACAGCGACACGGAGGAGTACAAGCAACAACAGCAGAGCTTCAATCCGGTGCTCGGCTGTGTAGAGCAGGCCAAACGTAATCCGCTCGAGGGCATGTCCGAGGAGCAAAAAGAGTACGAGGCGCTGCAGCTGGTCAATTTGCTGGAAAAGCTGCGCAAGGATGGCATCGTGCAGCCGGCGCTAATTGACAAGGATGGCAAACCGCAACCACTGGAGCACATACTGCAGTTGCAGGAGGAGCTGCCCCAGCAGCAGCTTGAACAGAAGCGCAAAACCTAAGCAACGGATCGCATCGATTCGCCTACAACATGCAAAACAATCGTCTTTGGGCTCTTCCAAATTGTGGCAACAACGTCTCCCAGACTGCCACACCTGGCAGCCACACTCTATATTGGCTCACTGCAACCCTTTTCTCACCTTATATACATACACAATCCTCGGCCGTAGCCCTACGAATGCCGTTTCAATCTAATAGACAAATTTATATTTAGTTTTTGTTTTTTGTGTTATACTTATACTTAAGCGCATTGTTATTCCGGTATATATAAGATAGATCGACGGTTGGCTTATATATAAATATATATATGTATATATGTATATATATAAGCTGTTCTATCTATTTACCTCACTTGTATTGTATGTGCAAGTGAATTTTCATTTATCTTAATCAAATGTGTATTTATAATCGCTTAAGCTCAACACCAACTAAAATGGAAGAATGTGAAGAATCAGACCTAAGATTTTAACTATATATATATATATATATATATATATACAACTCGCGTATTACCACTTTCATTCGTTAGGCATACATAGAAGTCTATATAGAGCTTTATTGTGTTCAATTTTGATAGTCAATGGGGCTTAGTTGCCTACAGATTTGCGACTAACGGTATATCTAGCATATAGTTGATATATTTACTATATACATGTACTTCTATTTGCTGGTACTTAATACGTAAATGCTTAATAAAAATTCTCTGTGAAAACAAAGTTGCAAGAAAATGAAATCCCTTTAAAAAAAAATGTATAAATATCTAAGACTCGATTTGTTGGCCAACATTTGGATGCGTACTTTTAATGCGTACTTGTTTGCAAAGTATTTCGATTGTAATTCCTTATTATAATTGTTTTTCATTCAATTCATAGAAAATTGTTAAAATTTAAGGCATATATTTTTCGATTTTGTGCAGATTTGTTTTTATTTATTCTGTTTTGGTAAAAGCTTCCATTAAATTATATTTTATTGTATTAGACCAAAAACAAAGAAATTTTGTAAGAAGTGAAGTCTCGCCAAGCCCGATTGGGACCTCAATCAAGGTGAGGGGGGCTTATTTCTTTGACTACAAAATTGACTTACGAGTCGGAATCGAGTGGGATTCGATTTTGTTTTGTTTATAATTTGAATTCAAGTTGAGAAACCCAACTATAAATTATCAACTCTTTTGACTATTTCTAGAAACCACGAACATGGAAAGCCTAAGGACAAAAAGAATGGGATTTCAGACATATCGAAACGTCAGAGGAAGCGAAGCAAAGGCCCAGCTCAGCTCAGCTTAGGATCTTGCTGGTAAGTATGAAACATTTCTTTAAAATACTCAATTAAGAAGCCAATCTGTTTTGTTTTTTTTTTTGTTCTTTTGTCCAACTAAGTAAAACTTTAAACTCTATTCGAAGCTGTGGCACATTAAATATGTACATACATATTTTTATGATTCGCAAGATGTTCTCTTGAAGTTCTTCTTCTTCTGTGCGCCTGGCTGAATTCTTCATTGTATTGAGTTTTTGTCCTTCTTCTGCTTCTTTTTTTGTGTTTGTTATTGTTATTGTTAAAGTTGCTTGGCATCCGAGATACTGGGCGATACTGGGTCTGGTTACTTGCGAGTTGCATGCGGCTCGTCGATTTTCACCGGCTCAAAGTTGTCGTAGAAATTGGCCTCCTGGATGCGCAGGCGATCGCAGCTGGACGCCGCTGGCTGATGGTGCCGCTTGGCGTTATGTCCGTGAGCGTGCTCCCGCTTGTTCCAGGCATGCTCGAACGCCGGATTCTTGACTGGTTCCGGAAAGTAATTGGAATAGAAGTGGGTTGCCTGTTGGGCGCCTTTCTGGCCAACATCGTATCCATGCATATTATCGATGTCGCCCGTGTCCAGCATCGAGGGTGACAATGGACGCCGTGCATCTGGTGTGCCCAGGGCTTGAGACATCAGCGGCTGGGCATGGCAGCTGCTGGTCTTGTACACGTTGCACAGATCGGGCAGCTCGTAGGCATTCGCGTTGGTCTCGTCGCGTGCCAGGAACTCGCGCATCTGCAGCTGCTTCTGCTTGTCCCGGTCCAGCTTGGGCACATCCAGGCCAGCATCGCTCTGGTGCGTCAACGATGCCGATGCCGATGCCGGCGGCGGCGGCGGCGGTGGTGGTGGTGGCGGCGGCTGCGGCGGCGGCTGAACCGGCGAGGACTGCAGCAGGCGCTCGATATGCTGGCGCAGACTCTGCTTGGTGAGCAGCTGCTGGTTGTCCTGCACATAGTGGAACAGCTGTCGCTTGCACTTGGCCATCTCCTCCTCGAGGCGGCTGAGCCGCGTCTTATAACAGACGAAAGCGGCCGAAGCATTTGACGCTTTGATATTGCCCTCCAACTTGTCGCCGAGCTCGCCGCCAACGGGCTCCAACGGCGCCGAGACTTGCGACAGCGAGTCCGCCTGCCGCATTGTCCCCTCGGGCGTATAGAAGCGATCGCCCTCATCATCTGGATGCATTTGCATTTGCATTTGCCGCTGCTGCTTGAGCAGACGCAATGCACTCTCGGATGCTTCCTGGGCTATTTTACGCATTTGATGCTTCTGGATCAGCTGCTGCTGGGCACGTTGATTCAGTGCATCGGCTTCGCTGATATTGTACTTCTTCTGCTGCAGCTCCTGGTGCTCTAGCTTCAGTCGTTCCAAGGCGGATGACAGGTCGATGGGCTTATGATCCTTGCGCAATTGCTGCTCCAAAGTCTGCGCCTGGGCCGAGGTCTGGCATTGAGCCGAAGCCTGCGCCTGGGCCTTAGCCTGAGCCTGTGCTTGAGCCTGCGCCTGCGCTAACAGCATTGTTTTGGGCAGCACCCGTTCCATAGTTTTGACGTGCGCCTGGGCGTATTTCCTCAATTGCAGATCGGCCAGCTCCTGAGCATGGGATTGGGCCAGTTGCTCGGCATGCGATTTGACCATGTCTGCCGCATGCATATTGGACATGGTCTGGTCGCGCAATTGCGAATATTGTTGGCTAAGGCTTTCGGAGAGCTCTTCCTCGGTGGAGGGCTCCAGCTCTATTTTGGCATCCCGCCTGGCCAGCTCCGCTTCCTTGATCTTGATCAGACGCCTCTCCTTGCACTCCTTGCGCAGTTTGCGAACACGTGCGCGCAGCTGGGCCGTGGTGCCCATTGTCTCCGACTCCGCCGGCGATGGCACGTGCATGGGCAAGGGTCCCGGCACCGGCACAGGTTCCGTCCACAAGCGCAGCGGTGGCTGCGCTGTCGCCGGCGCGGCGGCCGTCGCAGCTGGCGGTGCGGCGGACGCTGCAGCCGATGGCCCAACTGGCGCCTGCCACAGGCCGCCGCTGACGCAGCGCGGCGCCGTTGCAGCCACAGCGGCCAGTTCCCGGCGCAGTGCCACATGCGTCGGTTCCGTGCGTCGCAGCAGAGCGACCTCATTGAACCCGTTCGCATAGCGCTTCCCGCGATGCACCAGCTGCTGCGGCTGGTGATGTTGGCAATTCTGGTGCAGCTGCTGCTGCTGCTGCTGCTGTTGCGACTGCTGCTGTTGCGACTGCTGCTGCTGCTGCTGCTGCGGCTGGTGGTAGCGCTGTGGCAAGTGTTGCTGGTGCTCCAAATGCCGCTGCTTCCGTTGCTCCTCCGCCCAGGCCTTGGTCAGTGAGGTGGTAATCGGGGGCTTCTCGGCCAGCTCCGCGTGCCCGGTGCTGCCAGGTGCATGGAAATGGCCAGCGGCTGGTCTATGAATGGCGAGTTGGGATTGGGTTGAACAGTGAGCTGATTAAAAGCTTGTGGCATTATTGCGAAATGGCGGCGAGGGCGAGAGATCTCCCGGAGCGAGAGATCTCCACATGCATACACTAAATGTTCGTATAATATTATCTAATGTTTCTGAACAATCCCTGACTATTCCTGACACAAAGTTTCAAATATGCTCTTAATATTTTTTATTACAAACATTTTCTATATATACCAACATATTGTAGTTGTCGAGGGGAATTGTGCATTCAATTGTGGAACATAACCTAACTTTAAATATATATTATATTTCAAATATAACCGAATGGGATTATAGCAGCTTTTGCGAACGAAAACAGATCTGGAAGCCTAACCTGGTTCTGGCTATGGACATTACGGATATGTGGAACGGCGCTGAGCAGGTCGAGCAATACGCTGCAGTTGTTGCTGGGATGCTGGGATTGAGGTCGAGGTCAAGGTCGAGGTCGAAGTAGAAGTTGATGTTGACATGGAGGATGAAGTCTCCCGCCCACTTTTGGCGAGTGCCGCTCGCTGCGGTTGTTGTTTGCAGTTGATTGTTGTCTTTGTCTTGGCTGTCATCGTTGTCATCGTTGTCATCGTTGTCGTTGTCGCTGTGGTGTCCACTGTACTGGCCGTGGTCGTCGCTGTGGCTGCGCGACGATATCTGCAAAAGCGAGCGAGCAGCTAGAGACGCGCCCTGCACAAACAAAAGGAACCACCCAGAACCCAGAGCCCAGAGCCTCGCATCAGCCAAAGCAATTAATGCCGGGCACTCACCTGGATTTGGATACGGATCGGATGACACGCGTGGTGATGCCCGGCTGCAGTTCGGGGCCATTTGTTGGGGTCGTCTGTGTGGTGGTGCTCGAGTGCCGTGCACTGGACCGCATGTCGGGCGCGATCATCTCGTAGAGAGTGGAACGATACTCGTCCACGCCGTAGCGCACATCATCGTCGAGCGGCGGCTTGATGTCCGTGCGCAGCTCCATGTTCGCGGAGGCGGTGCGAAAGCGATGCACATACGAGTGCGCGATGGCCTCCTTGGCGGTCAGCCGGCCATCCGGATCGAGCACCAGCAGCGACTTGACCAGCGACATGGCGTCGTCGCAACAGTTGCGCAGCATCTCGTCCAGCGAGTGGCGGCGATCCCGGACAATCTTCTTGCTGAGCAGCACCGAGCCGAAGCTGGCTCCGATCGATTCGATGTCCCGCTCCGTCACATCCGGCAGCGCATTCACGATCTTCTCAATCTGCCCGCAACCCAAACAATTATAATAATAATTATAATAATAATTATATAAATAATCATAATAATGGTAATAAGTACCTGATTTATGGTGCTGGTGCCCTGGAAGAGCGGCTTCTGGCGTATCATCTCGCCCAGAATGCAGCCCAGGCTCCACATGTCAATGCCCTTTGTATATCTACAGGAATGCACAAGAGATTTCTAGATCAGCTTTAAGTGTGCCCTACTCAAC